AAATAAGGAAATATTAAGAAAGGAAAGAGAAACAGTATGAGTTATATAAAGAGATAATTTGAGAGAGAGAGAGAGAGAGAGAGAGAGAGAGTAGCGTACAAGTAGGAAGCAGAGGTGGAGACAATCACCATTACCATCTGATTGTCTAAAACCAAGGCGATTTACTCCTTGAGGGGAGGGAGAGATAGAGATAGGCAGACAGAGAATGTAGGAGAGAGACAGGTAAATATAAAAGAAAGAAAGAGAGAGAGGAAAGAAAGAAGAGAGGGTGACAGTAAAGTTTGCGTATGGATGAGCGACCACCCTTATGTGTCTCTTTGAATGTCTGTCTGTCTGTCTGTCTGTCTGTGTGTCTGTCCCTCACCAAACTTCACCTACTCCCTCCCTCCCCTCCTCCCCAACCCCTCCACCCCCTTCCTCCTCTTCCCCTCCTCCCCATTCTCCCCCCTCCCCTTCCTTCCTCCTCTTCCCCATTCTCCCCTCCCTCCCCCATTCTCCCCCCCCCCTCCCCCTCCCCCCGTGAGATGATGACACACGCACCGAAGTAGATCATGTCAGGAACGTATTTGGTCTCGATCATTAAGTCATTATTTACCTGACCGAAGATGAAGTCAACAGACGGTGCTCAACAGGAGGTCAGTGAACCAGCCGTGGGAGCAGGCGGTACACTGGAGCCGCACACAGCTTCTGGTCACTCGGAGGAACACAACACGAGAGTAATAACAATAATAACACAAATACTAATGGAAGTTATAATAAAAATAAGAATATTAGTGATGTTTAGATAAAGATATAAAAGATTGATAAAAATAACCAGACAATATTGGTAGTAATAATGAACCCCACTGTCTTGAGAGCTGTTCGGCCCTAGAGTAGCCTCACCTCCCTACCACACTACACCTCACTACCTTCACTACACAAATTGAGAATGTATTTTATTTGGATAGATGATGACAATAATAATAATAATAATAATAATAATAATAATATTAAATAATAATAATAACCAGGTAACAAAACATACAGCCAGGTCTCCTTGTTAACTCACTGTCTCTCTCTCCCTCAAATTTATAGCGCTGAATTTAACGACTGTCGTTCATCCCAGCGATTAACGGCGTTGTTAGTGAATGGTGGGTTGGGAGGGAGGGAGGAGGGGAGGAGGATGTTCTGTTCACCAGTTGTAAGTAATCAAGAGAATTGGTTGTATATTTGAGTTTTATCTCTCTCTCTCTCTCTCTCTCTCTCTCTCTCTCTCTCTCTCTCATATATATAATAATTCCATGGGTCTTTATTATCAACATATTATTCCAGGGATTAAATTTACAGGTCAGTTCCATCTGTTTTGCCTCATTTTTCCGGCTAATATTTTTTTTCTTCTGTATTGTAAAATCTGTTCTGAATCAAACCTGGCGGACAGTTTTAGAAATATATTCACCTAAAAAAATATATATATATACATATTATACAAATTAATATAGTTAATTCGAAATACATACCTTAGTGGATGTTTTAAAGTCTCTGTTCAGTAAGGTTACTCGTGAAATATATCTCGAGTTTTGTGAAGAAGAAAGATGAAATTTTGTTGAACTGAAATGCATTAGACACTCACGGTGATGTTTTGTTGTTAAGGCTTCATTATGAGTCATCTTTCTTTCTTATTTCTTTCTTTCTTTCTTTCTTTCTTTTCATTCCCAAAGGTTAGGTGTCGGCTTCTTCAGTCTTCCTCCTATGTTCTTCCGTCATCATCATCATCATCATCATCATCATCATCATCATCCTCCTCCTCCTCTTCCTCTCTGAACGTGATGTGTTTCTCTCTCTCTCTCTCTCTCTCTCTCTCTCTCTCTCTCTCTCTCTCTCTCTCTCTCTCTATTTCCTCCTCCTAAAGTGAGTTATTCTTGACTCTCTCCTCCTCCTCTCTCCTCGTACCACATCTTCGTTCTGCCTCTCTTTTCATACTTTTTATACTTATCATTCCTCCTCTTGCTCTTAACTTCTTCAATCATCAATTATGTTTCCCTCTCCTTCGGTGTTTGCGTCTCTCTCTTCGATACGTCGACTTCAAGCTGGTCATTCTTGTATAGATCGTCGACTTTAATTTTCTTGGCATTCTTCCTTAAGATTTATACTGAAGCTCTTCTTTAACTTCCTTCCATCTTTTGGTCTTCCTGCCCCTCACCCTGTCTCTTACTTTGTCTTCATTGTTCCATCCGTCGTCAACATTGCTCCATCCGTCGTCAACACTGTTCCATCCGTCGTCAACATTGCTCCATCCGTCGTCAACATTGCTCCATCCGTCGTCAACATTGCTCCTCCGTCAACACTGCTCCCTCCGTCAACACTGCTCCCTCCGTCGTCAACATTGCTCCATTCCGTCGTCAACACTGTTCCATCCGTCGTCAACATTGCTCCATCCGTCGTCAACACTGTTCCATCCGTCGTCAACATTGCTCCATCCGTCGTCAACACTGTTCATCCGTCGTCAACATTGCTCCATCCGTCGTCAACACTGCTCCCTCCGTCAACACTGCTCCTCCGTCAACACTGCTCCCTCCGTCAACACTGCTCCTCCGTCGTCAACATTGCTCCCTCCGTCAACACTGCTCCCTCCATCAATTCCACTCCCTCCGTCGTCAACATTGCTCCCTCCGTCAACACTGCTCCCTCCGTCAACACTGCTCCCTCCGTCAACGCTCCATCCGTCGTCAACACTGCTCCATCCGTCGTCAACACTGCTCCTCCGTCAACACTGCTCCCTCCGTCAACATTGTTCCATCCGTCGTCAACACTGTTCCATCCGTCGTCAACATTGCTCCATCCGTCGTCACCACTGCTCCTCCTCCGTCAACACTGCTCCCTCCGTCGTCCTCTGCTCCCTCCGTCGTCCCTGCTCCCTCCGTCGTCAACACTGCTCCCTCCGTCGTCAACACTGCTCCATCCGTCGTCAACACTGCTCCATCCGTCGTCAACTTCTCCCTCGTCGTCAACACTGCTCCTCCGTCGTCAACACTGCTCCCTCCGTCGTCAACTACTCCCTCCGCCATCAACACTCCCTCCGTCGTCAACACTGCTCCCTCCGTCGTCCACTTCTCCTCCGCCATCAACACTGCTCCCTCCGTCAACACTGCTCCCTCCGTCGTCAACACTGCTCCTCCGTCGTCCATTCTCCTCCGTCGTCAACACTGCTCCCTCCGTCGTCAACACTGCTCCCTCCGTCGTCAACATTGCTCCATCCGTCGTCAACATTGCTCCATCCGTCGTCCACACTGCCATCCGTCGTCAACATTGCTCCATCCGTCGTCAACATTGCTCCATCCGTCGTCAACACTGTTCCATCCGTCGTCAACACTGCTCCCTCCGTCGTCAACACTGCTCCCTCCGTCGTCAACGCTGCTCCTCCGTCGTCAACACTGCTCCTCCGTCGTCAACACTACTCCCTCCGCCATCAACACTGCTCCTCCGCCATCAACACTGCTCCTCCGTCGTCAACACTGCCCTCCGTCGTCAACATTGCTCCATCCGTCATCAACACTGCTCCATCCGTCGTCAACATTGCTCCATCCGTCGTCAACATTGCTCCATCCGTCGTTAACATTGCTCCATCCGTCGTCAACACTGTTCCATCCGTCGTCAACATTGCTCCATCCGTCGTCAACATTGCTCCATCCGTCGTCAACACTGTTCCATCCGTCGTCAACATTGCTCCTCCGTCGTCAACACTGCTCCATCCGTCGTCAACACTGCTCCCTCCGTCGTCAACACTGCTCGCTCCGTCGTCAACACTGCTCCCTCCGCCATCAACACTGCTCCCTCCGCCATCAACACTGCCCTCCGTCGTCAACACTGCTCCTCCGTCGTCAACACTGCTCCTCCGTCGTCACACTTCTCCTCCGCCATCCACTGCTCCTCCGTCGTCAACACTGCTCCTCCGTCGTCAACACTGCTCCATCCGTCGTCAACATTGCTCCATCCGTCGTCAACACTGTTTCCATCCGTCGTCAACATTGCTCCATCCGTCGTCAACATTGCTCCATCCGTCGTCAACATTGCTCATCATCGTCCACTGTTCCATCCGTCGTCAACATTGCTCCATCCGTCGTCAACATTGCTCCATCCGTCGTCAACACTGTTCCATCCGTCGTCAACATTGCTCCATTAGTCGTCAACACTGCTCCCTCCGTCGTCAACTCCTGCTCCTCCGTCGTCAACACTGCTCCCTCCGCCATCAACACTGCTCCTCCGTCGTCAACACTGCTCCCTCCTCATCAACACTGCTCCTCCGTCGTCAACACTGCTCCTCCTCCATCAACACTGCTCCCTCCGTCGTCCACTGCTCCTCCTCCATCCTCCTCCATCATCCTTGCTCCCTCCGTCGTCAACACTGCTCCTCCGTCGTCAACACTGCTCCCTCCGTCGTCAACACTGCCTCCATCCGTCGTCAACACTGCTCCATCCGTCGTCAACACTGCTCCCTCCGTCGTCACTTCCTCCTCCATCGTCAACACTGTCCCTCCTCCATCATCTACTCCCTCCGTCGTCACTGCTCCCTCCGTCATCCTCTCCTCCATCATCCTTTGCTCCATCCGTCGTCAACACTGCTCCCTCCGTCATCCAACACTGCTCCCTCCGTCATCCTTTTCTCCATCCGTCGTCAACACTGCTCCATCCATCGTCAACACTGCTCCTCCGTCGTCCTTCTCCTCCGTCGTCCACACTGCTCCATCCGTCGTCAACACTGCTCCCTCCGTCGTCAACACTGCTCCTCGTCGTCAACACTACTCTCCGTCGTCGCACTGCTCCATCCGTCGTCAACACTGCTCCTCCGTCGTCAACACTGCTCCTCCGTCAACACTGCTCCCTCCGTCGTCAACACTGCTCCATCCGTCATCAACACTGCTCCGTCCATCATCCTGCTCCCTCCGTCGTCAACACTGCTCCATCCGTCGTCAACACTGCTCCCTCCGTCGTCAACACTGCTCCTCCGTCGTCAACACTGCTCCATGTCATCCTTTCTCCATCATCGTCAACACTGCTCCCTCCGTCGTCAACTACTGCTCCCTCAGTCATCCTCTTCTCCATCCGTCGTCAACACTGCTCCCTCCGTCGTCCACTTCTCCTCCGTCATCTTTGCTCCTCCGTCGTCAACACTGCTCCATCCGTCGTCCTTGCTCCCTCCGTCGTCAACACTGCTCCCTCCGTCAACTCACTCCTCCGTCGTCATACTACTCCCATCCGTAACACTGCTCCATCCGTCGTCAACACTGCTCCTCCGTCGTCCTACTCCTCCTCCTGCTCCATCCGTCGTCAACACTGCTCCTCCCGTCATCCACTGCTCCTCCGTCGTCAACACTGCTCCCTCCGTCGTCAACACTGCTCCCTCCGTCGTCAACACTGCTGCTCCCTCCGTCGTCAACACTGCTCCCTCCGTCGTCAACACTGCTCATCCGTCGTCAACACTGCTCCCTCCGTCGTCAACACTGCTCCCTCCGTCGTCCTGTTCTCCTCCGTCGTCAACACTGCTCCCTCCGTCGTCAACACTGCTCCCTCCGTCGTCCTTTTCTCCCTCCGTCGTCAACACTGCTCCATCCGTCATCCTTCCTGCTCCCTCCGTCGTCAACACTGCTCATCATTGTCGCACTGCTCCATCCGTCGTCAACTTCTCCCTCCATCGTCCATTTCTCCCTCCGTCGTCCACTTCTTCCATCCGTCGTCAACCTCCCTCCGTCGTCCACTGCTCCTCCGTCGTCCTGCTCCATCCGTCGTCAACACTGCTCCCTCCGTCGTCAACACTGCTCCTCCGTCGTCAACACTGCTCCTCCGTCGTCAACACTGCTCCATCCTCGTCCTGTCTCCCTCCGTCGTCACCACTGCTCCCTCCGCCATCAACACTCATTCTCTCAAGTATTCAAGCCGACTATCTGTGTCACCTGTCCATTTCTTGTCTCTCATCCCCTCGCGTCTCGCCACAGACCATAAGCTCTGTCTGGCCAGCGTTTCCTCTCAACCCCTGGCTCTCAAGACTCTCCTGCCACTGCGACATTTCCCTGATGTTCCTCTGTTTCTGTGTGAGATCATCCACAAACAGGAGCTCCTAACCTACTCTACCCTAATCTAACCTAACCTACCCTAACCTACCCTAACCTAACCTACCCCACCCTACCCTAACCTAACCTAACCTTGGTGTAGATTGTAGACCAACTCTCTCATAAATTTTTATGGACCTCAAAATATTATCCTTACCATAGCATTAATTCACTCCTTACGTCCTCTTCAACTATCTTAACCAATTTCACCGTCTCCCTCAGGCACCAATACACATCTTCTCTTGAGATTCTGTCGTATACCTTCTGCAGATCAACAAATATAACTTATATTTTTTTTCCATTATTAGATACTCGTAGCATCCACTGTTCTAACCCCTTTCATGAATGCACACAATCTGCATTCCTTCATGTCTACACTATTTCCCTCAGTTTGTTTCATTATTTCCTCCATTGTGTTAATCCCTTTGTAGTTTCCTAAGTTCATGAGATTTCCTTTCACATTTGTATTATATACGGTTGAGGCTGAAATACTTAGTTCATTTAGGTGTGAGATACAGTTGGTGATACTCAAGAGACACATCAAGGCCACTTTTTAGTCGGTCATCTTTCTGTGTCATATCCAACCTGTTCATGTTAATACGAGGAGCAGGCATACCAATTTGGGCCTTTTATAAGGTTTGTAGTGTCCTGTGTGTGTGTGTGTCATTCTGCGAGGTTTGGTAACTGTCTAGGGAATTTTATGAGTAACATTAATAACTTACTGTATTTAGATTCTTGTCAACATCTGTTTTAAGTGTGGTGTCATTGTTGATTTTTCCTTTATGATCTGCAGCAGTTTCTCGTGCAGGTGAGGTGACCATAGCTTATTTTGCCGTCGGCGGAAATCACTGAGTTTCTTTGTTTTTTGGTATCTCTTTCGTTTGTTACACACAGGCTTTATCACGTGAGGTACGCTACACTCACGCTAAGTGTGATGACGGGAGCGGCTTCATTTTTAGTTATATCATTAACACTGTTGGTAAGACACTGAGACAGTCTCCCACCTGTAGTTGCTGTCACACTCTCCTGTCTGCATAGTTCCATAACATCTTAACAAGTCTGTCATATATGATTCCTCACGAACCGCCGTGAGACTAACTCATGAGAGAGTGGCCGTGGTCACAGCTGCCAGCTTGAGGACTACAGTTCATATCTTCTTAACGAGCTCAGTCATGACGGCATCAACCACTTGTGTCGCAAAATGTCATAGTTAAAGTCATCATAAACCACATACATCTCGTTCACTCTCTTCACTACATGTTGGGTTAGATCTTTAACATAACGTATGGTCTAGCACTCTAGCTTGTGAGACCATCAAGTGTGTCGGGCAACTGATGCAGGAGTGAGGGAGTACATCATACAACACGACGGACGGCACACTTATTCTTCGGAATTAACAAGAAAAAACACATAAGTTTCATTCAGCGGGACCTGTACGTCAAGAGGCTGAATTTGTAAACCCCGTCTCTTGACAAACTGCAGTTGCTCCAGCATTCATGTGTGCGCGACCACGTCTTTGCCAAAGACAGTTGCCAGGAATGTGGATGTAACATTTGTCTCAGTCTCCCAGCTGTTGCAATAAAGTCATCATCAATCTTTACGGTAATAGATTAGTTCATCGACACCATTTATGAACCTATTTAGACAACCACACTGGCCATGACTACTGGAAGACTGTGGACACCTGACTAATCTGAGAAGGGGTGTTTCCAGGCCTGGCCACGCTGGTACGAGGGACGATATTTTTATATAGATGTTGAACGAGTTTACTTGGGCTGCAGAGTTGAACGTGAAAAGAGACAACAGAATTTACGCCTTGACAACTAGACTCATCTAATACCATTCACAGTACACACACTGGTCGACGCTACACACCTCGGCAGTGGCAGTTATCATTGGCGTGTCTACCTGAATTATTATCTCGATTGTGTCCACTATCCTGTGACTAAATCTTTCACCATTGTGGCCATGTTTTCCAGTTCTCTCTGACGACACAAACCAGAGTCAATTCTTCTCGGAGATTGGCGTTGTGTTACGGGGTTGTGGGAGTTCCAGGGTGTAGGGTCGTGTGAGGTAATGGTGGGTGTGGTCGTGGGTGGGTCGTGAGGTTGAGATAGTGGTGGGTTTGAGAGTAGGGTCGGGAGCTGTGGGTCATGTGATAGTGGGTCGTGAGATAGTGGTGGGTCGTGAGGTGTGAGTAGTGGTGGGTCGTGGGTGAGTAGTGGTGGGTCGTGTGAGATAGTGGTGGGTCGTGAGTCGGTGGGTCATGTGAGATAGTGGTGGGTCGTGTGGTGGGTCGTGGGGAGCTATGGGTCATGTGAGATAGTGGTGGGTCGTGAGATAGTGGTGGGCTGTGAGGTAGTGGTGGGTTGTGTGAAAATGTGGGTCATGTGAGGTAGTGGTCGGTCGGTAGATAGTGGTGGTCATGGTGGTAGTGTGGGTCGTGGAATGGTGGGTCATGTGGAGGTAGTGGTGGGTCGTGAGATAGTGGGTCAGAGTCGTGGTAGTATAATAGCTTGTTCAGTGCTGTGAAGACTCTGGTAGGGCTGTGAATGACGCATTAACCACACAAGGCTACAGAGTTCAACCACCTCTAATTTACATAAAATTCTCATCACTTATTACCTGCCAGTTTATGTGTCGTCGCGTTATTCCTGCCATTACTAATCGCTTCTCTATCATGTAACGATACACACTAAACTGTTTTGTGTGTGTGTGTAATAATAATAATAATAATAATTAACGGTTTATTGAAAGAGCTTGGTAGCCAGAAGGCTGAAAATATACAGTTACATATTTTGGGAATGGGTTTCGAATTACAAATAATATAATATACAAGTAACATAAGTGATACAAATAAGATATAGTGTGTGTGTGTTACTCTGTCCTTATCTGTGAGGCGGTGTACTGTTTTCGCTCAAGTCTGTCTGTCTGTCTCCTCAATAACTGGAGAACAGGTTTCTGGATTTATTCTCATTTTTGCCAATCGTGTGACAAGATCCTCTTATATTTTTTTTTTTTTTTTGCGCCAAAGTTGACCAACAATTGGAGCCATAACACATAGAGTTTTTCGGGCGTGAAAGAAAACGATGACACGAGACAGTTTCCAGCGGTGACTAATAGATTTACAGTAACTCTATAAATTCTATAGTTACTGGGTACTCAGAAGATGTTAATTGTTGTTTTTACCTTTTTTAATTTTTCGTTTCATCCCTTTACGGCCTTTGTAATGTTTTTATCACCTGTTATCTTTAGTCTTCTGTTTCCTGTCATTGATCACAAGGAGCGGTTCAGTGTTATAATGTTTGGGGAATTTTCATATTTGTTTTATTTTGTTAATTTTTAGACGTTTTTACTGTATGTCTCCGTCACAACCTGTCAGTAACCCATTAGTGTCTCATAAAGCATTGTGAGTATGATGACAGAATACTTCAGTGATATCTGTGTTGAATTCGGATAGACAGACGGACGGACAGCGGGACGGAAAACAGACGGGCAGACATCGTATAGACCTTCCTCCAGTCACCACCAGGGGATTAATAAAACACTAATAACAGGTTGAGGACGTGACCTTCACCTGGTATACAGAGGCGACGCTCATAATATACTGTTCTTCAATAATTACACCTCCACCTCTACCAACCTCACACCAATTTTTTTTTTAATTACTGGAGCCGAGATAATGAATGTCTCCTGAGGTAAACTTTCATAACACACGACCCAGCAGTAAACACTACAGGTCTTGATGTAAGATCCATAAAGGTTAACTATAGTGGTAAGCTGATAAGATAACAGTTACGTTTAATATTGATTTTTTTTGTTTCACGGCAAAGGTATTACGTAACACACACCACTTATTGAGAGCGTCCGAGTGGTGGTGACGGTGACGAGAGGCTTGACAGTGATCATCTGTGTGTGCACTGTATGTGTATTTCCACATTTTAAAGATAGAGCTCATATATAGCAGGGAGGTGCGGGTGGCCTCGGGGATGATCCTGGCTAACTCCTCTTGTTTATTCAGGTTTTATAATCCCAGACTCCATGTCATTGATGAGTGCTGGAAATAGCATAAAAGGAAACAATTTAAGCAGTGTTACTAAATCAAATTTACCAAAATATCCCTTTCATTAAGTGTATGACAACCTCCACAGCACAGTACAGCACAGCACAGCACAGCAGGGTCAGTAACTGCTCACCTCTGATAAATTACATCTATGAGGTCACCAATATAATATTGTTTAAAGTTATTAATTCAAGGTCATAATGTTCTGTCTAGTCAGGGGTTTGAATTTTATTGGAGTTAACTGTTAAACCCTAAAACTACATTGTAAAAACATTTACGTCAAGCTTATATTAGTTTTATTTAAAGAACTAACAATAGAACAATGTGTTGTTGGCGTGTAAAGGAAGAGGCTCGTCATGGTTTATGTTTTACGTAATTTATTACGAATGTATGAAAGGATACGTTACATGTGGAGTCTCGTAGCAGGAGGTAACAGAAAGACTCTACTTTAGCTTCCTTCGAACTAAAATTCCGACTCCATTATTATGACTATATTCATGTCGAATCTTACATCATTTAGTACTCTTTATTCTACAGCCTCAGGTAAGGTCATAAGAGATAGGTTAATAAAATATGTTTATACCTGTGTGTCTGGTCCCATAGTGTAGCAGCTTCCTGTGTTAACTCTCGTACGAATTTTAATTGGGTCACTCCATGTTGACGCCGCTACCGTTCATACCATCCGTCCACACCTAACCTAATCTATTATACCTCCATGGTCCACACCCACCATCCACACCCACCATCCACACCCACCATCCACACTGACCGTCCAGACCGTCCACCGACCGTCCACTGACCGCCCACCGACCGTCCACACCCACCGTCCACTGACCGTCACCCACCGTCCTCACCGACCGTCCACCGACCGTCCACACCGACCGTCACACCGACCGTCCACACCGACCGTCCACACTGACCGTCACACCGACCGTCCACACCGATCGTA